AGAAGCAGACACTTCACAAAGCCTGCTTAGGAACAAAATCCAAAGAATCAAATGCAGCACACACTTTGACAGGAACAAATATTTCTGTGACTTGATAGACATTGCCAAGAAAGTGAAATGATGACACTCAGAAAGGGAGAAAATGCTTATAAATCATAAGGGACTTGTATCTAAAATAATATGAAAAGAACCATCCCAACAATGATGCAGATGGTAACTCAATGAGGAAATGCCATGGATCAAGGATCCGGACATGCTTTTCTCCAAAGAAGATTCCAGTATACACATGAAAAGACAGTCAACCCCAGGAACATAGAACAAAACCACATCTCACATCCAATAGTGGGATTACAATCATCGAAAAGCCCACCAACTAAAGGCAAGGACCAGTATTGAGGACCTGGAGTCTACACACATATTAACGATGGAAACGTAGCAGGGTATGAGGGTAAGGTCAGTATTCAAGAAGTTCCTTCAAAACGTTGAACCTAAATCAACAAGGATGCTTCAACAGCTGCAATCGTAGGTAGAAAGACTCAGAAGAAATGGAAACCTAAATCCACATGAATACTTGTATACAGATGCTCATGGCCCCAAAGTAAAGTATTCATCATAGCCCCAAAGGAAAACAACACAAAGGTACAGTCCTATGGAAAAATGAAATACATAGCGTATCTGTTCAATGAAGAAATGAAAAGAAGGGACCTAGCAATCCATGCTATAGCACAAATCAGCTTAAAAATACTGTGCTAAGTGGTAGTCAAAAAAAGATTACATGCTATCTGGCTGCATTTATATGACATGTCCAGAAAAGGTAAGTCAGTGGTTTCCCAGGTGCAGCAGAATAGGGGCACAATTATAATCACTGCTAGCGAATATGACGTTGCTTAAAAAATACTTTGCCAGCCAGAGTGACAGAGAGAGGGAGATACAGAAGAAATCTTCTGTCTCTTAGATCACTTCCCAAATGGACACAATGGCTAAGGCTGAGTCAAGGACAAAGCCAGGAGCCAGAAGTTCCATCCAATTCTCTTACAAGCCTGCCAGGGGGTTGGGCACTTGGGGCATCTTTGCTGCATTCCCAGACATATTAACAGGGAGGCGAAATGGAAGAGCCACTGCCAGAACTCAAAGCTGATGATGTGGCACAGTCGGTTAAGCAGTCATCTGTGATATTAGTATCCCATATGAGCTCCAGTTCAAGTAGCAGTTGTTACAGTTCTGATCTCTTCTGATCTAGCTCCCTGCCTGGGAAAGCAGCAGCAGACTGCCCAACTACTTAGGTCCTTGCCACCCACGTGGGAGATCTGGATGGTGTTGTTGGCTCAAGGCTTTGACCTGGCTGACATCTAGCCACTACAACCATTTGCAGAGTGAATAATCAGGTGGAAGATCTCTCTCATTCTCTCTCTGCATCTCTGCCTTTCCAATAAGTAAATATTAAAAAGAAACTACATACTTAATGGGATGCCAGCGTTACTAGTAGTGACATAACCCACTGTGCCACAGCGTCAGACTTGAATATGGAATTTGAAAGTAGGGAGGGAAATTAGATTTCTAAAATTGTGGTAATGATGGCACTAAAAAACACTGAATAATACACTATGAAAGGAAAATCACATGTTATGCAAATTATAATTCTGTAAGGCTATTACTTAAAACATATAAAATAAATACATAAATGTCTGTAAGTTAGATTTTTGAAACTAGGATTTTCATAGCATGTAGAAAAAAAAAAGAAGCAATGAGATAGGCATATTAGACACAATTTGATCCGAGTGCCCAACAAGGCAATAAACATTCAATAAGTTTTCTCTTTTCTACTAAAGAGAGATCATCAGAAGTGTCAGGTCTCCATGTTAAATTGCTTGCTGACCGAGCTGCAAAATACAGCAAATAAACCCAATGGTGTCCATGTTCCCATCACAGTCAGCCAGCCAGCTCCTTCTGCTCCATCCCCAAGCCCTGAGTCATCTCTCCTCACACAGATTTCTCATGCCCATTCCTCCATGATTCATCATCTCAGTTTAGTCAAGCCATTTCATGGAAACAGATTAAAGAGAGGCAGGCAATCTCAGAACTAGCATCACAGTGCACTGTCTGCAGCAAAGGAAAATTGGACCAACGTGCTCTGAAAAGTGTTTAGGATTTTTCTTGAAACGAAATATACGTAGCTTCACTGACTACTAAATGCAGAGCAAGCAGAAATGCTCATCAGACATCTGTTTATGATGTGGACTCCGCCAGGAGAAATCTTACCCGGGGCAGGGATGCAAAGGCACCCTTGGAAGACGTACGCAGTTTATTGATGAAGTAAAGGAAGACACAGAGTTAAGCCTGTGCAAGATTCCCGTGCTTGAAGTCCTAACCCTCAATGGGACGAGATTTAGAGCGAGCCCTATGAGGAGGTTAAAAAAGTGGAATGAGCACCTGGCCCTCTTATCCTTGTAAGAAGAGGACTGGACATCATGACTCTTCCCCTTCACGCACGCAGCAAAGTTCAGGTGAGGACCGGGAAGAGACACTGGCCAGAATGGACATGACAGCACCTGGATCTTGCACGTCTCGCCTCTGCAGCTGTGAGGGGATGCATCTCTGCTGTGCGCGCTTCATGACCCGTGTTATTAATTAAGACAAGCCTTGCAGAGGTGGACAGATGGGCCTGCATGGGAAACCGGAGATGCGTCCTGACAGCCTCCCAGAGCCAAGGGCACAGGTGATGAGGAGAAAAAAATCCATCGCAAGTTGGCAACAGCCCAGGGTAGCTTGACAGCCATCAGCCTAGCAGAAATTTTAAAAATCACAGAAATAGGAGGAAGCTCATGCAGAATGGAATTACAAATAATGTTCTGGGGCCACCATGGTGGGTGGTACAGTGTGTTAAACCTCCGCCTGCAATGCTGCCATCCCGTACAGGAGCATCAATTCAAACTCTGATCTGCTTCCCATCCAGCTCCACTGCTAATATGTCTGTGAAGGCCATGGAAGACAGCCCAAATGCTTGGGTCCTTGCCACCTCATGGGAGATCCAGTTAGGGTTCCTGGCTGGTTCCTGGCTGGTTCCTGAATGGCTCCTGGCAGCTCTGAGAGTCAGGGTCATTTGAGGAATGAACCAGTAGATGGAAGAACCCTCTCACTGCCTCTCTTGACTCTACCTCTCAACATAAATAACAAAATAAACAATTAAAAAAATCCCCCACGATATTCTGAACATTCAAGCACAGATTCAAAGACAGCTGTCTTACAGGAAAAACCACTCAGGCTAACTACAAATCTTAAGCTTGAAACGTAAGAACAGAAATACATTTTTAACAGAAAGGGGTAGAATATAATGACGATGATGACGTGGTTCTTTGGATATTGTGGCCTGTCACTTAGTGTTGACTGAACTGCCGACAAGGGTCACTGATTTGTTCAGTCAAGCCCCTCTGGAAAGTTGTACAGGTGCCCTGAAAGCAAGAGAACTTGGCAAACAGCTGGCCCAAGCTCTGGATTTTTTTCCAGGGGCTTCACCAAAAGCCAACCACTGGCAAGAAGAAGGCTGGAATCTAACCTCATTGGTAGCTTAGCGAGCCCTGCAGGGAGAGCAGTGCGTGAGCTGGAGGAGAGTGGCTGCTTAGCCTGGGCACCGAGCATGGATGCAGTTTACTGAGGACCTAGGACAGGGATGAAGTTACTGCTTTGTGAACTGAGAGCAGTGGATTTTGCTCTCGCTTTTAGAACTTGGATGGCGCAGCTTGGTTTTTAAAGACTGGTTAGCTCAGGGAACAGACTAGCTCTAATTATAAAGATAAAAAAGAACGCTCCAATTAAAGAGATGAGAAACTTGGAGGGAAACCAGCCCAGTGTGGAAGGAAATAGGCCTTTATGTAAGAGCAGGATCTGGCAAAGGTGATTCTCCCTGAAGGGCAGAAAGTAGCTATTTAAGGATCTACAGAATCTGAAGTCAGTCAAGCACTGCGCTCTCAACAGCTAAAAACAGCCTTCAAGGAGCCCTGGAAAAATTGGTGGTTGAGAGATGGCTTAACACTATTGGTAGGTTGCAACATTAGCAAAAAAGACTTGGCATGGAAATGTTAAGCTTGATTAAAGGAAAGTTAAATAACACTTTGAAAAAGCTAAGCTATAAACCACTTAGGAAGGCTCGAGGAGCCTGGAAAACATAGGCCAACACTTAGTTTTCTAGATCAATAATTCCGGAAAGCACATTCAAGTTGTAACTAATTTTGAGTGTATTTTGAAGTAAGGAAAACAACTGCGATAATACAATTTTAGAAGTCTGTTCCATTAGAAGATATCGTTTTCGAGTAGAAAATAAAGGATCTAAAGCAAAAGAAGATGCGTAGAAACAATAAAGAAAAGTTAAAAGGGCAAATAAGGCAGTAGAAACTTATCAATGAAAACGCGTACGGCAAACAAGTGACGGAAAGCCAACATCTTCACTGGTGTAGAGACAGAAGCAACGGCCTGCCGCCCCTAGAGACGGAGGGAAGCCAGGCTACAGGTGACAGCTCAAGACTCTACACAGCAACAACCTGGGGGAGGAACTGTGACTGTGAAACACTGATACAACGAACCTGGGGAACACAACGCAGCCACCTGAGCAGGCAAGGAATTTAAAACCACAGGAGCTCTGGAAGTCTTCAGCACAGATGGCACGATACAATTAACCACACTTCAGCTAAAATACTTGCTCACTTGTGTCTGCCACTTGCAATGGTTACAATATCCACTCTACACACTTTTACCCACCATTCTGTAATATCTGCCAAATGGGCCACAGCATCGTTACTGAAAACAAGTTCTTCAGTAAAACACTTGTTGAGCAAGAAAAACTGTATACCAATGAAAACAAACACAGTAATACTGCCCCAGCAATTTCATACCTAATATTGAACATAGCCTTTTTTTCATGTAAAGCCAACATGTAACTCAAGATTTTTAAAATTTATTTAGTAAGTACTAAATCATATTTAAAAAGAAAAACAGCTTTTACTGACCTTGTGAGAATATAAGGCGAAAATGAAGCTGGGTTATCCTGCTCGGAAAACAGGGGCATGGATCCTCCCATGATCCACAGACGGAAGTACAAAATGACAATGACCTTCAGAGACCAGAGGATTTGGTTAGACAGCATCAGAGACCTCTGCCCTAGCTGCAAGTATGTCCCGCTCCTCCTATCACGAAAAGGAACCAAGGCACATCACATGACTCCTTAAATTATGTTCAAAGTTCACCACTAGAATGTGCCAGAATATGCAGTGTGTCAACGCTGGGCCCTACACGCCAGAAGTCCTGCAAGTCCTGATTTGTTCTTTAAGGATCCAATTATCCTGTGTGAGAAATCCTAGGAAGACCACAGGGAGAGGCCACAGAGAAAGAGGCATCCCTGGGAGAGGGAATGCACAAGCGAATCCTACAACAGCTGCATAAACTTGAGTAACCCCGGCCCCAAAACAATGATGATCGCAAGGACCACTAGCATGTGTGGTGTAAGCCACAGCATTAAGGGCAGATACAGTTTTGATGTTTAGGCCACTAAACGTGGGTGGGTGGGGGCATTCCTTGAGTTCCAACAACACAAAAGGATACAGCCAGGTCTGTGTTGCTTTCTCTTGGGACAGCTCAGCATCAACATCTCGACAAAGGCTTGTGCAACACCGCTGTCCACCATGTCCACGTCATGAAACTCATGTCTACTTGCAACACCTATGTCACACCCATGGTGGCTAAGTTTGTTACTGGTGTCAGAATCCACTGTTGATTCTAATAAATAACTTTAATCACTTTGCTAAGCCCACTGAAAGCAATAAATCTTAGAAAAAAAAAAGAAATATTCCTTATCTGATATGTCAAAGTAAATAGACATAGACTTACATAACTAATGACCAAAACAGCCCTTTTCAAAAACGGTCTCATGGTGAGCAGGAAATTTCTATTGTTGCTCGCTGTCAGGTACCTAAAACAAGAAAAGAAAAAAAAAAAGAAGCATCAGTATGAGAGTTCAGAAGGTAATGGTCTCCTCTGAGTGTGAAAACACTGTAGCTTTGGCAAAGGCTGCCAACACCAAATCCAGGCACAGCCTTAGAGCCAAAGCCCCTGGCTGGAGCCCCGACCCTGCAGCTTCCAGCCCAGGACGAAAGGGTGAGACTCTCAGACTCTTGGCACATCTGTCTCACTTCTAGGAGGATGATAATGGCATCCTCTTCGGGAAAGTTGTGATCCATCGATGACATCAGAGTGGGTCAAGTCTTAGCACAGCTACCTATAAATAGTACTATCCCATTTGTTGGCAGATAAGCCAGCCATCCTGACAACTATGGTTACACTGCTCACAGGTATAATCTGATGCCAGGAGTATGTCCTCCTTCTTCAGGAAATAAGGGGTGCAATGTCTTCTCCTCAATGGATGTCTCATCAGCCAGTCTTCCACAACAATCCTCTTGGATAGATGCAAAGAGAGTCCTCCAATCCACGTTGTTCTCTCTTCGTCATTCTCCATCCACTGGTTCCTATACTGTGTCTTAACGATGAACTCCCATTTGTGGTGCAAGATAAGAGATGAGCCCACACACTCCTACTGCAAATGTCATCACAGTCACATCAAATGTGACAGTGTCCCGGGCCCCCCAAGTGGCAGGTGAGTTATTTTTCCACACCGGATGATCAATACATGCTGACCAACTAACAGAGTCATGTTAAAATATGTACTCTATTCTCTCCATCCTTTCCTCATCTCTGGACTACATTAGCACACAAACTAAAATTGCTCAGTATGGAATAGGAACAGTAAGTGAAGAGAAGAAAACCACTGGGGTGTAGCATCTCCCATATGTTGAATCCTGATGATGCAGAATGAAGATATTAAATTTTTCATCTCCTCTCAGAATCTATAAATATCTCAGAAGTTTTTGGCTGAATGTCAGCTCCAGGCTGATGTATAATAAATGGCTCAATATCATGCCAAAAAATTATAACAGCTATGTATGAAATTCTGTTTAGCATGCCCATCATAACTAATTTAATTTTCTTTGTTCTTTAGTAAGCAAACAAACATATATTCTGACTACCACCAACAACCACCACAGAAAGAATTTGAATTCAGAGCTTTCAAATTAGGAATTTAACTCCTACTTCTCTTTGAAACACAAGAAATAAGATTACTGTTGGCAGAGGTAGCAGAGACACAGACACAGTTCATGCTAGAAAAGATGATGAGTTGAGCATAAACAGCCAGAGATAGGCAGTCACTTGGTAGAGAGGTTATAACAACACTCAGGTCAACTGCATCCTCATCACCATGTTTGGTTCAAGTTACAGCTACTCTGTCTCCAACCTGGTTTCTTGCAAGTACACACGTGGGAGGCAACAGGTGACAGCTCATAACCTGGAGTTGTTGCAACACATGCGGGAGACCCAGACTGCATTCAAGACTTCAGACTGGCCCAGTGCTGGTTATTAAAGGAATTTTAAGGGTGAACCCACAGATGAAAGTGTCTGTCTGGGTTTCTCTGTCCTTCTGCCTTTCAAATTGATTCAAAAGGTTAAAAATCACGGACTTTCTTTCATACTTAGTGCTCAGAGCCTACAGAGGTGTGTAGCAGACATCACAACACAAAGCCATCCAATGCCACCTACCACGCTCCACTCCTGATTTCAGATCGAGTAAAAGGGTTAAAAATCATGGCTGGCATTGTCACAGAGTAGACTGAGGCACTACTCGTGATGCCAGCATCCCGTTTCAGAATACTAATTCTAGTCCTCTGTGCCCTGCATCTAATCCAGCTCTCTGCCTGGAAAACCAAGAAAGGACCCTCAAAGCTCTTGGTTTCCTCTGACTACACACCAGAACTGGATGGATTTCAGAACTTGCTTCAGCTTGGTTCAGCTTCATCTGCTATGGCCATTTGGGAAGTGAACCAACAGATGGTTGGTTCTCTCTCCCTCCCTCCTTCTCTCCCTGTCTGCATAAATGGACCTCTCAAATATTTAAAACTTAAGGTGAATTTAACTATTCACTGTTGGTCCCCTCTTTTCTACACATTCCTTTAGCCCATGAAGTGCATCATCTGAACTCTGATAGGCAAAGGTCAACCACAGAGGAGCCCAGCAACTTGGGAGTCACACCCGCCCTTCAGTGAGGGTTGTGAACAGGAGACAGCAATACAGTTGTCGGTTTTCTGCACTCAGGAAGCATGAGCTCACCCTTTAAACCCCATGTCCTGCCTGTGATCCTTCTTTTTTCTAAAAATCTTACATAATTCATTATCATCTGAGATATGGTGAGGGACAGAAGCAAAGACAAAGTGAAAGACCAGGAGTAGGGAAACAAGAGCAAGAATGGGAGCAAGAGAGAGGGACAGAGAATTCTCCCAACTTCTGGTTCATTTCCCAAATGCATGCAATCACTAGGACTAGGCCAGGGCCTGAGCCAGCAGCTGGTGAATCATGTCAGTTTCCTAAACAGGTGGCAGGAAGCTAAAGCAGGAGTCAGGAGCCAGAGGCAGGAACTGAACTCAGGAACTAGCTGTGCAGGCCTTGACCTTGGTCTTTTGCCCACTCACAGACCATTACCTGTAGAGTTTGACCTCAGACTCCAGCACCAGCAGTCTGTGAACTCAAGATTCCAGACACAGTCTGCTTTGTGGTTCTTCATTGTTGTGCTGGCTGTTATTTTTACAAACTGCCTGTGGCAAGTGGGAAGACAGAGAATTTGCTGGAAATGATGTGAGAGGAGCAGAGCAGTTGTGACTGAGTGAACAGGCTAAATGTAAATCCTGATTTCTCTCTCTCACTGCCTGTGGGAATTGGGACAGTTAACTATGAATGTCTCTGGTTTCCCATTTGCAAAATGAAGGTACCATTAGTGCCCACCTCAAAGGAACTGCTAGGGGTAACATTTATTAGAACCGTGCCTGAGGCAGAGGAAGCCTTCTTTTATTAAATTTTAGCTGCCCAACTAAATTTTAGCCGCCCTTGTCAACAGAAAGTACATTTCACTGTTTTACCTGTCCAATATCAAACACACTTTCTCATTGGCTGAATCATCTTTGAAGTCATTAACCTGCATGTACCAATCAGAGGTTCAGAGAGTGTGTCCTATTATTGTTGGCAGCTTTTAATCTTTTTCTTAGTGCAAAGATTCACTTAGGAACCTGCACAGTTTTGCACATAGCTGTGGCAACACCACCTGCCATTTCTGGTATGCATCAACTATGGATGGATAAAAAAGAGAAACACCCACAGGAGTGCATGCTCAGGAGACCACACAGTGCGGCTCAAGGGCTGGGGAGAACCTGCAGTTCTGGCTTTCAGCTCACTGCTCACACAGGTGAATCTACAACATGGAGACAGCACTCCCTGTCTGCCATCCTCACACCGCTCTCTCCAGGATTCAGCATAGCCCCAAGACAATCATGTCCTGACTTCTGTGTTTTGTATTGTGCCTGCTTCTGATCTTCAGGCTTTGGCTGGTGAACATCAGTACGGTACGTGACTACCAACGCTGGTACCCCATAGATGCTCATAATTTGACTCAAGCAGTTCAACAGAAGACTGAGGCAGCAAGCCTTCTAGGTCAACCTCCTTCCTCAGGGAAAGGGGCTTCCATCTAGCATCCCAGGTGCACATTGGCAGGAATCTGGAGTCAGGAGCCAAGCCAGCACCGGGGCCCAGGCACTCTGACTGGGGGGAAGGTCGATGCCCAAAGCAGCATCTTCGGCACTGAGCCACATACTTCTCTTGTTTCTTAGTCAGTCTCAGATTTCAGTATCTAGATCCAGAAAACAAAAGCAAAATCAAATTCGCTGCAAGAAAACTCTCATCTCTGCAAGTACAATTGAATGCACTGAATCCTGAAATGCTGTTTTTTGCTTTGCCTACATCTGAGCAGAATTAGTGAACCTCATCACAGAAACAGACCCTGCCCACACAAGGTGTGCTACCACTGCACACAGGTCCCTGACCAGACAAGGATGCTGCCCACACGAGTTGCACCACTACTATACCCAGGATCCTGCCCACACGAAATGTGCCACTGACCGCACACAGGATCCCAGGCAACCCAGACATTGTAGCATCATAGTCAACAGGTATCCTGCAACTCATTGAAACATATCTGCCAAACAAGCTATCTATGGGGTTGACATCAGAAATGAACAAAAACTGCTTCTGAGCAACGAAAACAGTATTTCAAACCTACAATGTCCTGGTTTTCATTCCTAAGGCAAAATAAACAGCATACAGAGCACTGCCACTCCAGGGCTGATTGGTTTGCTATGTGCCAGGCATGATACACCAACTCCCTGGCTTGTCTGTAGCTGGAGACGACCACACAACAGCTCCAGCCATGGGATGCAAGCGGAAGTTACAGGCTCCACATGCAGCCAGGTGCTAAAATCTGTCCATTGCACTTGAAGTACAAGCATTTTCCTCTTCTGCTGGATGAAGACAAGCACCAAGCCCAATACCACTGCCTGGAGACGCTATATCAGAGGAGAAGGGAAGGAGAGGTTTCTGAGTCCCAGCGGGGATGCGCAACCCACCAATGAGGGATATTTATTTCATATTTTTTTGTAAACAAGAGCTAAATTCTATTGAATGCAAGCTCCCACTTATGAATAAGACCTTAACCTACAGAGAAGCCAACAGCTCTAGGAGACAGCAGCTACAGTCCCAGGAGATATCTAAAAAGCCACCAAGGGTAGAAGCCAATGGGAAAAATTCCAAAGAATTCATGCAAGCAACATTAAAGTCCCATTATTTACAAATATGTTTAAAAGACAGAACTAAAACAGAATTCAGAGATGGCATGCGTTCTGTGAAACAGAAAAAAAAAATCAGCAGCTTATTGAAAACTCATAAAATACTGTGACATTCTGTCTGAAAGCCTGAAACACTCAATCTTTAGCAACGGCTGAACTGTGCAGCCACATCAATGCCCTGGTTGCAATATTATGC